CGCCGCACCGCCGCTGCGTAGGCGATGCGGCTCGATGTGGAGCCCGACTTTCTACACGCTGACACCTCAGATGCATCGCCGACGTCGCCGACTCTCTCTCTCTCTCTCCCTCTCTCTCTCTCTCTGTTCTCTCTGTGTTTCTCTCTCTCTCTCTCTCTGTCGCTCTCTCTTCGAAGAACAACAGACTGCATAAACGTACACTCTCGGAGGTCCGCGCGGATTTCTGGAATCGGCTAAAGAGCCCCCCTCTTGGGCGGCGCCTCTGGCGCCGCAAGGCAGGGAGGCCCGGTGCGCCGATCCAAGAAGTCCGCGCGGACCTCCAACAGTGTCTGTCTTTGCCATGGGTTTGTCATCTGCCCCCGCTCTCTGGCTCTCTCTCTCTCTCTCTCTCTTTTCTCTCTGTCTCTCTCTCTCTCTCTCTCTCTCTTTCTCTCTTTTTGTTTCTCTCTCTCTCTCTCTCTCTCTCTCTATCTGTCTCTCTCTCTATATATATATATATATGTATACCGTCTACACGTAGGTGTAAGCAAGCTCGACCCCTCGCCGGAGTGACCTCATGTGCGTGGTATTCGGGCGGTGCGGAAGGGGGGGGCAAGGAGCTGAGCGCGCAGGTCCCTGCCGTCGCAGCGCGCACGGTGGCCGGCAGGACGCACACCAGAGGTCACTTCTGCCCAGGATCAGTCGTGCGCGTGGCTCTCTGTGTCTCTCTCTCTCTCTCTCTCTTGCCCTCTCTCTCTCTCTCTCGCTCGCCCTTTCACTGGAGTTCGCAGCACGTCCCCCGCAATATGGGTTTGTGTGTGTGTGTCTTTTTGTGCGTGTGTGTGTGTGTGGTTGTGCTTGTGGTTTGTGGTTTGTGGTTGGTGGTTGGTGGTTGGTGGTTGGTGTTTGTGTTTGTGGGTGTGTTTGTGTGCTTGTGTGCGTTTGTGCTGTTGTGTTTGTGTGCTTGTGTATGTTTGTGAGTGTTCGTGGGTGTTTGTGTGTTTGTGTGTGGTTGTGCATACTTGTGTATAGTTATGTACGTGTGTGTGTTTGTGTATGTTGTGGTTGTGTGGGTGTGTCCCCCTCGGCATGGGCATCTTGTCCAGCACTGCCGAGCGAGCGCAGGAGGAGCGGGGAGGAGGACGAAGTGGATGGGAGGGGCGCGGGAGAAGTGGAAATGACAAATGCTGAGTTCGCGAAGCCATCGGAGGGGCGAGGAGGAGGCGGGGCAGGGGGAGGGGGGGACGAGTCGAGGGTAAGGGAACGCGGGGAGCAGGGAGGGGAAGACGCGGCGACACAGAGGTCGGTGTACGGTCCTCCGGGTGCAGCCCCTTCCCAGCGAGTCAGGCGATCGCAACACACGGATCGGGGGGGCGTGGGATGAGTGACGGGCCCCGCTTCCGTGGGATATCGCGGATGTCCGCCGCCGAGCGAGGCGGCACCAGCCGCACTCTGGGGAGGGCGCCTCCCCCAAAAGCCCATGGATTTGGCGACCGCGCGCCGAGGCCGTGGATCGCCAATCCGTGCCCGCGCGCCCCCGAGCGAGGCTGTTCTCCCTGTACCGTGCCACGCGGGAGTACCACGACCAGGCCCTGCTGACACTGCTGCTCCTGAGGACTCCACCGATCCTGGGCGGCAGGGGAGGGAGCGCCCGCGGTGCTGCAGAGCTCTGCAGAGCTCACTTCGATTCCTCCGGGTCGACTCTAGTTCGGTGGTTTCCGATTCGATCTCGATTCGATCTTGATTCGATCCCGATTCGATTTCGATTCGATCTCGATTCGATCTCGATTCGATTCGATCTCGATTCGATTCGATCTCGATTCGATCTCGATTCCATTTCGATCTCGATTCGATCTCGATTCGATCTCGATCTCGATTCGATCTCGTTTCCGATTCGATCTCGAGTTCGATTCGATTCGCTTTCGTACTCCGATTCTTCGACCCTGCCGGAGGCCTACCGGCCTGCCGACGTCCGCCGATGCGTCTTCTCCCCGCTCGGCTGCCGAACTTTCCGCCGATCCGAAGCATGTCGATCGCCGATCCGACTTGTCCATCCGATTCTGGCCCTTCTGCTTTGGAAACAGTAGTGCTACGTCGGGCCTGTCCCTCTACTGGGGGTATATCCAAAAATAGTCAAAAAATAGTCTGGGGACTATGTTTTGAGTATTTTGCATTTGTCCTTGAAAATCCCCCTGTAGGGGGACACGCCCGACTCCAGAGTAGTACTATCTTGTGGCCTTCGGCCCATCCCGCAGCCGTATTTGGGCTCTGGACCGGAAGCCTCTCGGATGCCGATTGGGTCTCGTGGGATGCCTCTTGAGGGGAGGCCTCGTGGAAGCCTCTTACCAGCCACGCGCAGATGGGGGTAGGGGGAATGGGGAAGGCTTCTCAGAAGCTCCCCTGCTTCTTAGAAGGCGCGGGCCTTCTCTGTAGATGCAAAGCTGGCGCCTTCCAAAGAGCAGCCTCTTTCTGGGAAGCTGTCCCCCCTCCCCCTGCCCTCCCTTGTGCGCCCCGCCAATCC